CTTAGTTCAACTATTCACTTTATTTCTCTGCCTTCTTAGTAGTTAACGCTCTATTGACATGTACTGGGTCCTCTTCTCTCTGTCTATTGTAACCATTTGAGCTTGGGATTTCTGTCTCTTTCGACCCATTGATACTGCTATAACCAAAGTTTCAGGTGACTCTGTGTAACTATCTTCATTTTCATCCTCATCCTTTCTTGAAGAGTTATCTTTGCTGCTGTCTAATATTAATTCTCTTTTTTTTTTAATTCTTAGTTTCTTATGAGAACTTTCTGGTGCCCTTCCTTTCTTCCTCTGTGCATTATCTTTAGGTCATTTAATTTTGATACACAAAACAACTGCTGTCTATGGTCATGTGTTACTGATCCACCTTTTAGCCTCATACCTGGTTGCTTCTGTCTAAATTAAAAATTTTGGCCAGACATTTTGATTCTTCTCATGAACAACACTCTCCAACCAGGTTCAAAATGGCTAATGCAGAACTTTTAATCTCACTACTCTGCTTGGTTTTCCCGTTACCTTGTTTCTTAATCACTATAGGTAAAGAGGCCATCTAGCTTGTAGCATAAGTTCTCCTAATGGGAATTACTTTTGTTTGGACCTCTTGTGGATCTTTATTTTAACTAAATCAAGCAGATTTTGTCTAAATAGTGTTTTTAAAATCCAGTCTCTTTGTTGGCCAGCATGGGTGAAACACTTGGAAGTTAAAATGTCTTAGTTACTGCAGCATCTTTCTCTGGCCTTGACAAATGTGAATTTGCCCTTTTCATGCATGTTAAGGAATGCAGCTGATGATGCGTGCTTTATGATTTGCCTATACTATATCTTGTCACTACTTGGGTACTACAGAAATGTGACTCCCATTTCTGGTTGTCCATTGCAGTCTATTTCTTTTAACAAGTTACTTGAATAAGCCCACACCTGCTCTCTCCATGCATGCCTGAGGTGAATTGCCCATAAACATCTACTTGACACTTCACAGGATCTTTGCTTTCTTTCAGATTTCCTGCTTGGCTGCTGAATTTCTTTTTGGTTTTGTTTGTTTTGTGGTGTTTTGGATTGTGTGATGACTCCAAAAGCTGTTTAGGTAGTTATTTCCTGGAATGCAGACCTGTATGTTTGACCATTTATTCCCTCATCTCTACATCACTTTAGATTATAAACTTCTTGAGGGCAGGATAGTCTTAAATTTCCACTATTACATTCCCATTGGTACAGTGGGTCATAGACTGGGAGTTCCATACGCTATGCTAATAAAAATAACTAATTATTAATTTTTTTTAATACAGTTCATAGAGGGGCCATTTGAAGATTATTTAAAATGTTTGGAAAATCCACAGGTATGTTAAACTTGATTTATAATAGAAAGCAGTACTTTTGTTGAAGTTGACGGGTAATTAGATTTTTTTTTTTTTTCCTCACAATGTTTTTGACTGAGCTTAAGAGGTCTTTGAATTATGTGACTATGTACTTTTACGCATGCACTCTCTGTTGTAAAATGATCTGGGGAGGTTTTTTGGATCTTGATTTAAACCTGTTATTCCTCAAAATTGTGTCCAAATGTTTCTAGCCTCTTCTGCTTCTGTCTTGCTTGGTTTATTCCAGGATTTTTAATCGCAAGGATTTGTTAGTCAAATTCTGAGGTTATATACTAAATGGTAAATCATGCTGTTATCCAGTAGAACTTACTCTGCACTGAACTATGCCAATGTGAATGGCTTACAGCACTGCACTGTGTGTATACAAAATGTCTTTTTCATACATGTCTACTAATGTTTAAAAAAAATTTTTGAAAAATAAAACATACAATAGCTTTTCTAAATGATCAGAGAAATTAATATTATTCTATCTTTGAAAATTAACATGAGAATTTAAAAAATATTAAAAAAAAAAAAATCAAACTGCTACAAATTCCTTTCCGAAACTTAATTTCAGTCATGTTTAATTTAGTAAGAATTTTGAAAAGGAAAAAAAAGAGTTAAGAAAAGAAAGAAAAGTCTGGTCACATCATACTGGAGCACAGCACAGCGGTTAGGCTGGTAATGGAAGAAACAACTTTTACTCTTCTATGATTTGAGCCTGGGTTATGGTGTTACTGACATTTCACTGTTTCAACAGCTTTAAAGGGCAGATTTTTGGTCTGTCTTCAGGTATTGATATATAGCTGCTTGCATGAGAAATGCAACTATCGCAAGTTTATCTTGGCGGTTTGGAAGTGATCTGTCTACTTTGTGCTGGAGCACTTCACAAGACCATGTCAAGATATTTGTATGGAAGTTATCTGTGTTCTAGGCATGAGAGTTAAGCCTCAAGGTTCTTTTTCCAGTTAATCTATAGCTAAAAGCTCACAAAATCAGACAGTTTTGAAGGTAGAGAGTAATGTTTTTAAAAGCAATTCATAAATCGGACACTTGCTTTATTCAAAAATAATTTTTGAAAAGCTAGACTGCTGGTGGTTTAAGTTCAACAAAAGGAAAAAAAACCACTATCACCTTGCAAAATCATACTCTTTAATGATAGTTCTGCATTGATGTGAATGTTTTTAGTTCTCTCAGTTTTCATACAGATTAGTTTCTACTTTGGGAAAAAATCCCTCTAGCTTGTACCCCTAACCTAACTGGAATAGTTACTGTTATTTCAAAAAAACCTTCAGATACAATCAAAGTGTCTTGTCTGAACTCCAGACTCAGTGGTGATTTTTTTTTAATTATTTCTTGCTTCTCTTGATCTACACATGAGAAAGTATAATAATTGTGTATTTGATTGAACTTAATTTTCTTTTTTTTTTTTTTTCAATACAGGAATGGGTTGGACAAGTAGAAATAAGTGCCCTTTCTCTTATGTACAAGTAAGAAAACTTTAAAATGTGTTTTACTGAGATCAGTTCAGTTGTTTTGTTAATCACTTGGAATAGCAAAGATGGAATTGAATGGAGAACTGTAGTTCTCCAGAAAATTACAAATATGCTTTGAAAATTGCAGCTGTCAAGGTATTAAATAAAAATAGAAAAGTGAGCTTTGAAAATGACATTTAGTCTGGGATTTGAATACAGGTTTGCAATAATGTCATGCATCTTGCCTGCAAAACTAATTGTCAGTAGAGTCATGCTGTTTATATTTTGTTAATTTTCATAGCTTAATTTTTATGTTAAAATTGCTTTTCTTCCTGTTTCTCACCAAGGCTTTAATATTAACCCTATTGCTAAGCTGTGGGCTGTACCCATTTCTTTATTACCTCTGTACAAATGCTCTGATGGAGTTCCGTGATATGAGTATTGTAGGCTGTATGCTAGAAGGCTGTTCTCGCACCTCTCCTGGTATGAATTTGTGTGTACTGGTATGAGATGACTACCTGGTGTACTGCTGTAGTTTATTCTCTTTTCTGTAAGAATCTTCCATTTTTTCCACTGTATCAGTATAGATGAAATAGTACAAGTTTGTGAAGGGCCATAGCTTGAGCTATGCTTAATGTGCGAACACTCTTCTCGGTGATGAACAGTTTTGCTGATGTGTTTTTTATTACATACAACCCCATATATTAACATTCTTCACAAAGTAGTATGAAACAATATGTTGAATATGTATATCTGCTTTCTAATTACTGTGTGAGGGGATGGGTGATGTACAACACCTTCTCTTTCTGCTGTTTGTAAACCAGTTAAAAAATTCAGTATTTCAAAATGTTTACCCTAAGTTAATGACTTTGTACTTTGACTCTTGATGATACAGTTGATATGAGGAAAGAAAGAAGCTAGTTAAATTACTTGCAGGTACTTAGATGAGTGCTAAGTGTGGGAAATTACATGAAATTCTGTCTTTGCGTTTTATGTGGTTAATGAGACAGTTTAGAGTTGCATGTGCTGCATGGGTGGAAGAGGACTGAACTGAAAGTCAGAGTAAGGTTTGGCTCAGGAGACTTGGAGAGAAGGTCTGATGGTTAGATTGAGCCCGGGTATAGAGGGGCGTAACTCAATTTAAGGCAACAAAATTGCACACTTGATTGGAACTGGATGGTCGTGATCTTCTGTTTGTTGTATTTCTGGCCATGAGAAATGTATTCTCATGAAATAGAAGCAGTTTATTTTGAAGTCATAATACATTGGTATCCAGGACTGCAGCTGATAGGTGAATATGAAGACAAATCCTGGTTGATCATAGTATTTTTTAATTTCCCTTGGAAGTGTGAGGAGGCTTGTGGCATAGTTGCAACTATATGTAATATTTCACTGCAGACTTGAACTCACAGTTGTTACTGCCATACTTGTTTTGAGAAGATGGGCTTCGGTTAAAAGGCAATTTAGAGGCTCATAGAAAGTAGGAATGGTGGTGGAGGTTGGGGGAAAGCGTTGCTTCCCTTCCTGCATGCTGGCAGACTGAAGGAAAGCAGAAGTATGAATTTCCCATTTGCCAAGTGGAGAAGTGAGAGAGTTTCAGACTTTTCAAACATAGGATAGAAATGCAGTGTGAATAGGTTTGTTTTAATTTCCACTCCTCTGATCTGTCACAAGTATAATTTGGTTATCTAGTAAATTTTGCCTGCCTTCCTGAAGCAGGTGGGTCTCTTCCTCTCAGAATTGTTTTTTCTGAGTTGTAGAAATTTGGTCGGTTTAGTTTTTTTTAATCCAAACCCTGCATCTGTGAATATACTTAATCATTTTGCAAGACTAATTAAACTTTTGCTTGTGTGAGCAAGGAGGAAGAAGAAGAAGGTGGTAGGCTACCGAGCAAAGAATTCAAAGGGAGGGTTATGGATATAAGAAAGAGAAAAAAATTAAATTTAAGATCATGACAGAGGTTGATTATAGCAGAAAAACAAGTAGCAAAGATTGATAGTCTTACAGTTTTTAGAAAATAAAAAACCAAATAGTATGCCATATCAGTATTAGTTGTGGATTTTTCTGTATTTGTCACTTTGTATCCAGTTCAACTTTTTATGCTTTTTAATCTATAAAAAAAATTAAAATGTGTGGAGTGTAAATTCTAAATTCTAGCTGTAGAGGCTCAACTCTTTATTTATGATACTTTTAATCCTCTTAAATGTAATGAGGTACCAAACCTTAGTTTACAGCGATTAGAAAAATTTTTCTAAACTTGTTTTGAAAAACTATGCTGGACTGATAACCCTTGATGATGAGGACCTGACAACACTGCAACAGCACACTATCTGCTGGTTTGGTCCAAGTTTCCCAAAAAGTTTGTTTCCATTCTCTCAGTCGAGAGCTGAGGCAGTTGGGCCACTGTTTGGGAGCAGAAACTTTGTGTGGACCCTTCTGAGCGCAAGAACTTGGTTTGGGATGCAAGAAAACTTTCTTATTACAGACATGGGCTGTTCTGTTAGCTGGCCTCTGTGCCCAAAAGGGTTCTTGCATGCATGTCATCAGTCTGCTATTACAGATTTAGCCTGAGCCATTGCTCACCTTCTGGAAACTTACCACTGTTTCCTGTCTCTGTTCATAAAACCAACATCCTCTTTGTTCTGGTAGGTTTCCAGACGGCAAGGTGTAATGAATTTCTCCAGGACTGGGGAGCCATCATCTTTCTAGACACAGCTCCAGAAAACAGTGTCTGGGAATTTGTTTTACTTGTCATTGGCCCTGTGCATGTTGCACCAGCACATGTTATTCTAGTATATTCTTTCATAAAAGTAAGCCTTTTCTTGACCAGTGATAGCTGTACTCGTCTTCTTAAGTATTCTTTTCTACTAGGTGTTTTCCATGCTAACCTATGTTCCTTGAACTTGCCTTGAATATTCCAATTTTAAAATTAATTCTTCACTGCTACTTTTTTCTCAGGAAAGATTTCATAATATACCGGGAACCAAATGCTTCTCCATCACATGTAACTGAAAATGGCTTTTCTGATAAGGTAAAAAAAAAAGTTGTGGCTATTGTGAAAGGCTGAATTAAGACTATCTTATAAACAGCAAATAGTTTCATGTGAGTTTTATTATTCAACACAATGAAGTGTTCTGAGAATTCAGTTTTAACAATTTATTTCGTACATGTTTAAGACAGCTATCCTGTTAATACACGTAGCACTTCTTAAATAGATGGTCCGTATTCGGGGTGTGGTATATCTTCCTCGTAATCTAAAATTCTGTGAAAATCACTTCACAAGTGCTAACTCACATAGCTACCTCTGTCTTAAATGCTTTTTGACTTTTAGTCAAATTCTTTTTGATTTAAAGGACATCTGCTAAACATTTTGATGGCTTTATTGACACTTTGAGATCCTGAGAGATAACAAACCACGTTGGTAGTTTAAATTGAATTTAAAAGGTAGCACTCATATGAGAAATTAAGTGAGATGGAAAACCTAAAATATGTGTGTTGTTTTTTATTTTTAATAGGTATTGCTGTGCTTCTCAAATGGAAACCACTATGATATTGTTTATCCCATAGAGTATTCAGAAAAGGCTGCTCTGTGCCAGTGTAAGTATTATGCTGGTGAGTTAAAAGCATGTATTTTTACCAAAAACCTTAAAATGATCACCATCAGGTTTCAGGAAAAGGCTCTGCATGAAAGGTTAGTATAGTCATTTTTTAGTAGCTTAGTTTTCCATTTGAATTGTCAATGACTGTATGGTTTTGTGAGAACATGAATTCTTACTGTGTCCTGATTCTTGACAAAGCAGATTATATACCAAGAGGAGAAGACTTATCTGCCTCTTTGAATCTGAGTGGTCTAAAGTAAACAGAAAATGTTGGTGTACTAATTTATAATCTGTTGCATTGTCTTTGGTCAGCATTCCAGTTTTAATTTTGTTTTTCAGACTATGTTAGCAAACTAATTGTTCATGTTAAAATTATCCTTGGATGTGTAACTTGTCACAGAAATCATGGGGGTTGCATGCACAAAAAATAACTGTCTTCATGGATTATAGTTTTCTCTACTAGATTACAGAAATGCTCAAAGGTCCTCATCAGGTTTGATGGGTCACTGTGACACTCCCTACAAGGATTCTCATTCTTGATGAAAACTCTGCCTGTGTGCAGAGTTACAAGGCTAAAGGCCAAATTTACCTGTCAAGAAACCGATTTCTAGTAGCTTCATGTGTACCCATTAAGCCGTAGGAGCTCCAGCTGGCTTTGCTTCTAATGCCTTCACTGTTCCAGTTAACACATCAAAATGATTGCTTGCTTTGATTGAAGTAATTTGAAATGCATCTGTAATGGTGGTGTAAAATCTCATTTACCTTGTAACTGATTTTGCCCTTCCACTTTCTTCTCCCCTTCCGTAGCTCTGCTGTATGAGTTGCTGTATGAGAAAGTATTTGATACAGATGTAAAGAAAATCATAGCAGAACTTAGTGCTGTTGGTGTGACAGAGGAAAGTAACGGTAGCAGTGAAGTGTCTGCTTCAGATTCAGAAGATGACAATTACAGGTATATACAATTTAAAAGTTAACACAAAATGCCTGTGGGTAATACATGTTAAATGCGTTTTCTGAATTTCTGGTGGGTAGTAGAATCTGACAGCTAGAGTTGAAAACCTTTACAAATTACTAACAGAAGAAACCCAAAGAGGTAAGGTTAGAACTATGAAATATGTTACCTTCATCGTACCTAAGGACAGGGTTCTGGTTCCTCTGCTCTTCCTGCAGTCTAGCTTTGGGTCTCTTTAGGTAATGGAATATTGCCTTTGCAATGTGTCCCTCTTCCTGTTTAAAATAGCAGAATCCCCTGGGAGAACTGTCAGTGTGCCAGTCTGGCATGGTAAACTCTATGAGAATTACTTGGCTCACTCTTGCAACTGAGTTGAGTTACAGGAATCTAATCCAAGTTGCTTCCACACCTGGGGGCTGAAATGCCTGCTTGAGATGTAGCTAATGGAGAAATATGGATGAAGCTTGCTCCATTTTGTTCCTTGATCTTTATGAAGTGATTGTATTTGTGGGTTTATGTTCCTTTTGCTGGACCTGGATGCTCTAGCTAGCTTTGAGATTTTGACCTACTGATTCCTTTTGCACAGTAAGTCTTTGACAGTGCCATTTTGCATTTACATATTGGCAGTTTTTCTTCTGTTTAATACTGTTCTTAAAACCCTGGCTTGTTTGAAATTCCATTGAAGCCATGGAGATTGCTATATTAGTGCATCATGTCTCCTCTTCCCGCTGAACATCATTAAAGTCCTTTCCAGGGGCTCTGCTGTAGTCTGTGTGGCATGTGGCAGAAGAAATTCTTTGAGATGTTGGGAGCTGACTTTTTTTTCCTCAAGCTAAAAACAACAGAAAGGAAGATGATGGAAATCGCCACAGAAAGAAAACCAAGTTCTGGGAAAGGGATTAGCTTCCTTTCTTGTTTGGGGAAAAAAAAAAAAACCTAGGGAACACTTCCAATTAAAATACAAAATATTTCTGCCTTGGGGAACAATTATTGTAGCTAAATGTCAGAGAGTGGAAACCTTCTCTATTCCTTTCTGTTCTTGGAGCTTTCCTGGGCTTCATATGCAGTAGCATTACCCTCTATCTTTGGGATTCCTAAGAAAATAAACTGTTAACTTCCATACCACCTTTGTAAATGAAGGTCACGTACTCACTTGAGACTATCAAACTCAAATAATTTTGATTTAAACCATATGTCTTATGATGCAAGAGCTAGTGTGTGTGACTTTTGACCTAGTTAACCCAAATTACAAACACTTTGCTGTGTTTATGAAGTCTTTAAATTTTTTGCTTGTCTTAAAGTTGACTTAGCTTGTTTCATTACCTAGTTTTCCAGAAGATTTTTTTTTAATTTTATGAATGTGAACTTTTCGATCATGTTGTTATTAAATGTAATAGTTTATTTTGTTTTTGAGAGAAGTTAATGCTGACAGTTGTCTACAATTGCTGTAGGG